CCCTCAGCATTGGTTCTTGAGAGCCATCATCCAGCAGGGCCCCTCAGCATTGGTTCTTGAGAGCCATCATCCAGCAGGGCCCCTCAGCATTGGTTCTTGAGGGTCTGCTCTGCTCTTTACATACCTTATTCCAGCAAGACAACTTTGTCCAGGAGACCACAGTTAATTTGGGTCTCGCTGAATGGTAATGCATTTTGGCCTGCTAACAACCTCGACAGAGACAGATCTAAAAGGGATTTGTCAATACTTTTGATTGACAAAAAGTAAAAACCCACTTTGGATTAGTTAAGGAGCAAGTTCTGGATAACCAGACAAAGCTCCAAGCACAAAGCTTTGTAACTGTGACTCACTTTCACTTTGTGGAGCTTTGTTGTTCCTTTGTTGTATCTGAATATCGGTACTGCTGACGCTCTTATTGGGAAGTTGTGTGTGTTTTATGAACGGTTCGAACGGTTTGAATAGTGTTTTGATTCACAGAATTCCAGTCTAACTGAAGATTAAGCTCTTGGATCTGTTGCTCAAGTTCTAGGTATTTTGCCTCAGATATTTTTATCTCAGTGCTGCTATAAAAATGAATGAATGACAAGCTATCCTATCATTGTGGTGATAACGATATTGAAAACACCAGAGGGCTGTTCTACGAAACAGGATTTCTTGCTTAGCTGGATAACTTGTAGGATTTAAGGTAGTCTGGGCTAAATATAAGGGAACGAAAATGAAGTCCATTTAGCCCAGACTACCTTAAATCCAAGAAGTTATCTGGCTAAGCAAGAAATCCTCCTTCATGGAATACCCCCCAGGTGATCAGAGCTAATCTAAGAACAAGAATCTGCCATTGAATCTCCCCAGGAAGAACTTATTTGGGATACAGACACAGCTTAATGAGAATGTTTTCTTGCTTGGTGATGCTATGAATAGATTTAAATTTAGGCATAAAGCTGGATATTCACGTGGATGTTCCGTACCTGAGAACACAAGTGCAAAGTGTCATTTGGGAGCACAGAATCATCGGCATTTGGTGAAGGTCTATGCCAGACGTGCTAAGAGGAGACAAGCCGGGCATTCTGGGAAAAACAGCACAGAAACACACAAATGTTTTAGAGCAACTGAGTCTAACTTCCAGGAGTTCTTAAATATTCCTGTTAAATTCTGCGCCAGTAGCGCTCTCTCCTTTTTTTTCAGCAGTTAAGTAGTGCAGCAGTTAGGAAATAATGCGACATCTGACAAAACACTTGAAGGTTGGTGCTCTGTCAGTGGCTCCGTCAGAGGAACCCTTCAGTGAGGCATTTAGCTTGCATTGTACCCCTACAAAAGGTTTTCAGTGGACGGCGCCTTGGACCGAGCATGCGAATGATGCAATAGTGGTCTTAGCTTGCAAAAGGTGGCGATTGCAGGAGAGGATGCGTTTTCTCTGCCACGCTCAGCAGAGCAGGGATACAGACCTCCGGGCACCAATCGCACCATCCCGCTGTGCAGGTCGGCCCGGGCCAAATGGTCATCTGAGGAATTTCTTCAGGATTACCTATTGAAGACTTCCCAGAGCCGTGTTCACAGGGAGTGGCTTTCCTGGAACTCTCATTAGGCTGCAGTGGCAGTGGGCCAAAGGGAGAGAATTGCCTGATACACTATCCCAACCCCCTACCCCAGCCGGTAGCCCATCCCTTCGGGCCAGTGCAGTTATTGGCCAGCAGAGGGCGCCCACCAGTGGCAGCAGCTCAGCTTGGTGCCTCCAGCACCCGGCTGAAATCCGGGAGGCTTCTCATAGTGTCTGTCAGGTGCATCATGGTCCCTTTTGTTCAAACCTGAAGAGGTGCAGGAAGTGATTGTGGTGAATCTTTGGGCAAAACAGTACCTATGCTCATCCACTCCTAGCTGAGACCCTTTTGGTCAGCATTAAACGTTCCTTTACATTTCCAAACACTCTTTTCTTTCCCTCCATTACTGCAGTTTACTCCTCTTTCCATCTGTCTGATGTTATACTCTGAACACACGGCATACAAACTCCACTTTCGCTCTCTGTTCAAGCCGTTTCTCGCCTGTTATAACCGCTATAATGCAGATTTCCATTCCTTAAATGGAACTTGCTCATGGCTCATCATCCCACCCCTTTGTCCAACACTCAGGGCTGAGGAGGGAGACCTTGCGGTCTTTCTATTCCAGAAAAATCTATGTAATGATCTCCTTTGTATCACATTCAAAAGCTGCTCGCAAGTCAACCGCCAGTAAAGAGGGCAAGTAAAGATCATCTATTTACTCTAAAATACTGTCCCCACGTGAGCGTAATACGGCATCTGATCTGTCTACTATCCTCTGCCAAATTCTGAATGTTTGGAAAGCCCTGCTATAACCACCATGAACTTGTATTAGCTTGGCAGCATCAGACTGGAGTACCAAGGCACGAAGCACAGGCCATTAAAGCGATGCAACGGAAAAGCCAGTTTAAATGGTTGTTCTTCGGCAGTCTTTTGCGCTTCATACGTTCATACACGTGACCGCACTTCTGAGTGCTTTTTGTCCCATATAATCTATTAATCTCACCATCATTAGTAACTCAAGATGACATATTCTATTCTTCTGTGTTCGTCTCATCTTAGATATAATGAATGAGGATGTGGTTTGAAGTAACAGGCTGCTGAGTCTTTGTGGGTATTTTTGCACTGGTGATGATGGCAGCCAGTATGGAGACCAGCCAGTACACTGGGATTCTGACTCATAAATATTCAGAGATGGCGAGCAGGGTGGACTGCTTCCCATGAAAGTCCAACATATTTCAGCAGTCTGACTTAATTAAAATGCATTATTTCCCTTTTGTCTTTTTTCCCCATAAATGATCTCCCGCCTTTTAAAATTGTTCTAATACCTAGTTAGCAAATTACTTCCTAATTATCCAGATAAATCCATTGTTGAAATGGAAATTTTATGAAATTCAATCGGAATTGAAGTCAATGAGAGGTATGAAATATATATGGATAATTTCCTTGCAGGAATTGCAGTGTGGAGAACCATGTGGCAGAAGGAGAGCGTTTACGGTTTAAAGATCCATCCGATTCAGATTTAGATCTATCATTTTATTCTTGCTCCATGTTCTAACTGGGCTAAATCTGGCACAGTTGCCTCATACCTCTGGGACCTTGGTTTGAGTCTCTACCACGACTCCATGTGTGTGGAGTTTGTGTGTTTGAAGTTACCAAATTGCCCATAGGTGTGAATGGTGTGTGAATGTGCCCTGTGATGAGTTGGCACCCGTCCTGGGTTGTTTCCTGTCTTGCGCCTGTAGCCGCCAGGACAGGCTCTGGACCCCTCGCTACCCTGAATAGGACAAGTGGCTAAAGAAAATAGATGGATGTTCTAATGGATCCCAGCCATGAAGCGACTCTCTGATTAAAATAGTCTTAAATCAAAGGGTTACAGCTTAAAGAAACTGGGGTCTTAATTGGCCCTGTGTGTGCATGTGTTGTGTGCATGTATGTACTTGCCCAGTGCCAGATTGGTATATGATGTTCAGGGTTCCCCTGTGCATTGTGGGATAGGTGCTTACTGCCACCTTCCTCTGGGATAGACGCAGGATGTCTTCATAGTCACGTTTGGATTTATGCTGCTTCCACAAATGTCTTATATTTATGTAATTCTGGTTTTAAAAGGCACTGCGCTGTCATTTGGGTTTCGCGAAACAGTAGACAGGTGCTCTGACATTTATTCTGGACATGTGATATAGCCCACCACCCTGACCAGGATAACCGAAGATGGATGGACATGATATATAGTTGACCTTTCCAACTGTGCAGAACCGATCAAAGACAAGAGGGTGGCTTAGATGGCATGTTTTTTTTGTTGGAAGATGGGGGAGCTACCAGCTAAATTGCACTCAAAATGGTTATTTTTGGAGAAATACATTGCAAGCTTTACCTCAGAAAATGCAAAAAACACCAGCTAGATATACCTAACCACAGAGGTGAAAGATGGTCTGTAGGCTGCAGGCATGAAATCATCTGAGACCTGCTGTGCATCCTGTGCTCTTCAGGGCATGAAAAAAGCGTGATGCAGGGTCACCTCAGCACTTCCTGAGCCACGACCCTGGGCTGAAACGCCTCGGCACGGGTTGTCACAGTTGAAGACAGCCACAGGAAGGGGCGGGGGTCCCTTTATAGGCAAGTCAAGGCCCAGAAACGCAGATAGACATCAGTTCAGAGGGATGGAGTGTCGGCAAATAGGAGATTTTAAGTAATGTCTTTTGAAGAAGGCTTGTATTAAACATCCTATATGATTTTCAGCCACAGCCACAAGGACATTCTTTTTTCAGGAAAGTTCATTTCCCAGAACAGTTCTGACTTTCCGTTCTAATAGATGGCTTACGGAAATTAAAAAGCCCTTTTTTATGATTTAACAGTTTACGAATTGTGGTGCCTTAATGATTAACAAACAGCAATTTAAAAGAAGTGCCCATTTAACAAACTGGGCCTGCAATTGTCTTGAGAAATATTTAATGATGTAAATTAAACTTTATATTCAGAATCAGGAATGTATGATATCAAATTCTCTGGCCCATTGCCATTTTCAAGGATTCTATCCATGTTAATTCAGTAGATTGTTCATTCAGCTTCAGTTGTAAAGTAGTATATTACCTGAAACTGGTTCACACCCCCTGTATACTGCCCTCCATATTGAACTGGTGATGCTACATCAACTTTGCTAATATTCCAAAAAGAAAATTTGGTGTTTAACTGGACCGCCGAGTAAAGCACGGCAACACCTTTACGATAGCTATAAATACACACTCATCTCTCCCGAGTGGCTGGTACATGAGCATGTGTTGCTGTTCCTTCAGTCTCGCACGCCTAATTGGAGACTGAGGCCTGTGGTTTTTGATACTGCGGTAGAAGTGGTAAATCTTACTTTGATGGATGGGTAATATCTGCGACGGCAGCTCAGATCAACCTCCAGAATGAGAGCTGACTGACTTTGGCTTATGGTTCCAGGCTGGAAACGAGGATATCATGGTGTCTAGGGAATGATCTCATCTGAACAAGGAGAAAGAGTTCTGTTATACAGAAGTGTGTTACTATGACAACAGAGACTCTGTTGAACTCAACTGTATATAACTCCAGAGAAGGAATTAAAGCATCTCATGTTTTATGGGGGATGATGTTTTACAGGAAGCCAATAACAGAGATTCATTTCAAAGAGGAATAACCTTTTACTTAGAGTTGGCGGCATCTGCTGGTAATATTGGTGTATTACAACAAATGACGCTTTGTTGTACATTATTTTGATTGTAATGATTCAGTATTATGTACAACAAAAGTGTCTTCCCCTCCCTCTTGCTGACGCCGTTCCTCTGCCTCTGTCCTGCTCGCTGCTCCTGTTGACTGGGTGTCCACAGGCCTGTTGGAGAACTTGAGCCGCGAAATGGAGACAAAATATTGTGAAGATGTGGGAGACAAAGGGCTGGGGGCAGGTCAGGTGAGACATCATGGTCTTTGTGCTCTAAGATGGTCACTCCAGAATGGATGTGATTTGGGCAGGGAGGAAAAATCAATAGCCATTTATTTTAGCATTAAAAAAACTTGCCGAACTGTTGAGGACTTATATTTACATTCATATAACCACTATTTAAAGAATGTTTTTAAGGTGCTTTTTGATACAGAGTGAGCTGCCGTAAATTCAGTGTGATTTCTTGATATTTGATGAAGTGCATTTATATTATGGGGGGAAAATCTCTATATATATATAAACTATATATATAAATTTTGCTCATACTTACATATTGTAATGTCGTTTCTCTGTTGAAACCACTAAAACACTGACACCTATCCATGTACGAGAAGCCGTGTAAATTCTTGTATTGATTGTGGGTTTCCAGCAATGCCTCCTATACTCATTTTCCATGTGAATAAAATAGAACAGAATACGCAGGATGAAGAGGCGTCTCAAGCACATGTGATGTTCTCCATAAAGGAAGTACGAAAATAGATCGATCAAAACTCGTTTGAAGTCTGACAGGTGACGCCCTCCTTCTAAGATGTCGGTCAGCAGAGCAATCTCACTGTTGGGTAAGTCATCCTATGTAACCTGAAGAAGTTGATCTTAAATGCATGCATAGGTGTTAAATCAGGTTTTGCAAGCTTATGTGTTTCAGACAGTAAGACTTTTATTTGGTGTGGTAACTCTTAAATACCCTGTAACTGGAGTCGCCTTAAAAGCCTCTTGACGGTTAATACAATTAATTTTAATATGTGCTTTCTCATATTTCTATTTTCCGTACCCATTCATCTCATCCTGCTTTCATTTTAGATGCATGATCCTCACAGGTGTAATATGTTTGTTTTTCTTTCAACCAAAACAATTCACTGCAAGCAAATAAGATCACTCTCTGCATGCAGTCAAGGGCCAAAACGGTCGTGACAAATTTAATGGGGAAAAAGCAAGATGGAGGATAGTCTTGGGGGGGGTGATAGTTATATTAATATGGAGTTTTTGAGATGTTTGTGAGCTTGTAATGTGGAAATGTCACCAGCAGTAAAAACCAAGGATCTCCAACCATCTGCCTGTAACCTCAGACTGAAATGTTTGAAGAAGTGGAATGATCATCTGTTAAGGCTAGATAGAGTGAATATGTGCTATTATGGGTGATACCTATATAATACAGTTTGTGATTGGCATTGTGTGTTCAGTGAAGGACTTTGGTTTGGTTTTGACATTACATGCTATACAGAGATGTATTGCAAGTTAACATCATGCTACAGGATACTTATGTCTATAACCCCTTTCCCTGCTCTAATATTTTTTTAACTGAGTGAAGCAGATTTTGAGGTGAGAAAAACACTTAAAAATTCAACAATTTTCTTACCTTCTCCCTGACCAGGATTTATGGCTGTGGCCATCTCTTCTCGAGGTGAGAATACCGAACTCGCTGTCTGCCTGTCATTCACTCGTGGTCACGGCATGAGTTGTCGTTCAGCGATAGCTTTACTGTAAATAATACTTACCCACAGGAACAACAGTGGAGAGTAATGGATGGATGAGATTTCCATTTCTGTGTGTGTGTTCAATAAGGGATTTTCAGACAGCAGGAACTTCTACACCAACACCCCAAACAATTTCCCTAAATTACTAAACACCTGCATAACAGTCCACTAAGGACATTTTTCATAATATAAAGAATTTAAAATGGCAGTTGCATAATTATTTAACAGTTAATGAACTCATTGGTTTGTATGTCTGTGTACAGTAGAGCTGCCCAGTGATACTTTAAAGTGTCAGACATGAATTTTTTCATTCTATTGCTAACATGTACTGTAATGTAAATAAACCATAATAACATATAAAACGAATGTAATGACTTAAAATAATGCAGTAAAATAAACAAAACAGATCAGATACATAGGCAATTTTAAATTAATGTTGGGAAGATTTAGCGATAACCAGGGTTTGAACGAAGTTCACAGAGAAACATCATAAGAGAGAAAAAAAATGCATCTGATGGGGTTTCCCTTAAAATGACTGTTTCACAAGATTCAGTGAAGCNTGATGGGGTTTCCCTTAAAATGACTGTTTCACAAGATTCAGTGAAGCCGACCCCCCCCCCCGACAACATTTACTGCCACCACTTCCCTCCCAAATATAATGTTGTATTAGGTGCAACATGCAACTTATTATTTTTTTGCACAAATAGCTCTCACTGAAAGGTTGTGAATAAGGCCTTACATTCATGCAAACCTGTACTTTCACGTCATGGATGGACTGGCCACTGGCCACCAAAGATCTCTGACACATTTCAAACACTGAAAATAACACGCAACCGAGAGGAACAGTTATTCTGGTGCTGAGAGTTCAGAGAGTGAGGATAAGGGCAGTGGAAGGGGCCTTGTTTGTCTCAAGAAACACTGATTACGATGATGATGATGATGATGATGATGCTATTGCTGATCTGTTGGAGAGTGTGGCATATGCCTCAGACACCCAGGCTATAGACTTTGTAAGAATTTTAATAAAAAATAATAATAAAAAAAATAAATAAAAAAAAGAATTATGAGGATGCAAATAAGATGTGATCAGGAGGTTGTTGTCAAATCCTGCGGCTGTCAGGGTGATTCACAGTTGGGCCCTTGATGGGCTTTAATCCCGATTACTCCAGGTAGTAGCTGCCCCTAATCATCATCGTGTGGTGCTTTAGATAAAAGCATCTGTTAATTACATGTAAATCAATGGGTGGAATTTTAGTTGAGGGACCAACATTGAGGAAATCGTGTCGTCTCCCTTTTCTCCAGACAGCTCCAAACCTGTAGTGACAGTCGATCCATCAGGCCAGATATACGAGGGCGACACCGTGATCTTGACTTGCAAGGCCGAGGGACAGCGCTCCAAAGACTCAGCGATCCGCTGGTTCCGAAACAGAGTACTGGCAGACTCCACGCTGCAAACTGAAACTATCCCCGCATCTGGGGTATCCCTCACACTGAGACCTGCTGTGCCCTCAGACACAGAGATATACTGGTGCAGCATTATGGGATGGGACAGCTGGCCCATTCGGTTTAAAGTGCACGGTAAGGGTGCGGACTCCAGGGAGTGAGATAATGCATTTTACATTTCACTACAGCACTTGGCAAAAGCATTGCACAGCCTTACAGACTTATTTATGGTATAATTGTTTTTCCAAATCATGAAAATATACAGTTGCTTGACGTTTCCCCCAAAGTGATTTGGACGAGGGGCAGGTGCTCAAACAGGGGGGCGTGGCTGACTGATATTTTTTTCCAGCTGGGTGGAGGGTGGGAGGGGTACAATTGCAGTGGGTAAAATTAAAAGCAGTCACTGGACAGTGGCACCAAAATGTTTGTCCACCAGGTCAAATTGGCTTTTGTGTTATGCAGAAAAAAATGTGACATATAACTAAACTATTTTTATGAGTACTCCATAATCGTGGATAACTCGTTTCGTAAACGTCAGGTACAGCCCAAAACAATGTAACAATTTTTTTTCACGTATGTCGGACAGTGAGTGACGAATTAGTGGGTCGTTGATTTACATCTCTGTGTCACCAGAGCTGTTTTCGCCGCCCATGTTGAGCGTGGAGCCTTCAGGAATGGTGACGGAAGGAGAGGACGTGACCTTTCGCTGTGAGGTTTGGTACCCCCCACGGAAAACTGGGGAGTCCCTGCAAGCCACGATATTCTTCACAGATGACTCGGGTCGGCCCAAAGCGGTGTCCGCGGGGGACCAGCACACATTTATAGCTGAGAGGGCTAACGCTGGAAGTTACTATTGTACAGCGCAGGCCGTGAAGAATGACGTCAGAAAAATTAGCCCCCTGCTGTGGCTGGCTGTCAGAGGTATGTCCAGGTCTTCATTTCAACAGCTGGAAGGACAGACCGCCATTTTATGATGGTGCTCTCTATTTTCCTAAGCATTCCTTTCTTAATCCCCCTTTCCTTGTTTCCCCTAAGAGGTGTTTATCAGCGTCACTCTCACTGCATCTCCGGGAGTCAGAGTAAAAGCCGGCCAGCCCTTGAGCCTCAAATGCTCAGCCGTGATTAAAAACCAGAGCTCAGGCCACCAGGATACGGACCGAGCCGAGACGTCCTTCACCTTCCTGCGAGACGGGCAGCCGGTGGTGACCCGCAGTCACTCAGATCTCTACGACATAATCAGTGTCAACAGGAGCCACGCTGGGAAATACAGATGCGTCGTAAATGCAGGGAGAGCCCAGAAACACAGCCAGGAGATTCTTATTTACTTACAGAATGGTAGGTAGCACTATGACCCTGTTTGTAGTGTTTTGTAGTGTTTTGTAGTGATAGGGAGCCTATAGGAAGCCTTCAGCACTTTCATTAGATCGAGGAATCCTCAGTCCTCCATCCAATCAGCACAGGTGAACACAGGTATCGGCACTGGGATCGCTGGGTCCCAGGGCACTTTTGTGTACAAGTACAAGTACAAGTACAATATTCCCATCTCTTCCAAGAAATGGGCAGCACCTGGTATAGAAAACACTAGAGTCTATTATGGGGTCTTTGATGTTGTGTTTGCTATTAATTCATAGTGACCTGGAATATCCTCATGCAACCTGTCGAATCAGTATTCTGCTCCCTCCTCATATCCCGTTTTTCCTACCGCTTGACAGGACCGGTGGTGTTCGGCTTGGGGGCTTTAGGATTCCTGGCCGCTACCATTGTGCTGTGTGTGAAATGGTGAGAAATATACCCACATAGCAAGATGAGTCTGAACCGGATCCAGGCCAAATGTTCAGGCACTGCCACAGATCCATAAACTGTATCTAGCCTGGAGTCTTTTTGCACAACGGATCAATACTGGTCCGAATCCACTTTCTGGGTTTGAAACAGATAAGGACCATATATGGGCCAGATGCACATTGAATGTTACCAAATCGGACACCAGAGTAAAAGTAAAATTGTGACGTAATCCTAATGGGGGCAATGAGTGGCTCAGTGGCCTAAGTGTCTGTGCCAGTGATTCCAAGGTTGCTGGTTCAAGCCCTGGTCTCAGCAGACAGCACTGTACATTAGCTGACCCTGCACTGTGATCTCCAAGCTGTGGAGAGTAAGGTAGGGCTGGTGAGAAGCTGTGTTCTAAGGTGCTTTTGCAAGTAACACATTTGTTTGTTAAATGTGGTCCTGACTCTTTTTCTTTTTTCCAAACTGACTGCAGACCAGCTTTGTTCTGGGATCCTCCCTTATCACATGTGGCTGGTGAGTGGCTCAGTGAGCAAAGCCTCTGTGCTCGTGAGCCAGAGGTTGCTGGTTTGAGCCCCGGCCCTGATGGAACAGTTATGTGTCCGTGGACCCTTGAGTAAGGCCTTTAACCCCCAGTTCTGGGGATGCTGCTGGTTGTGAGATTAAAAAGGAAATATTCTAGTGTAGCTGTGCTTAAGTTCTGCTCCAGTATCCTGACCTAGGATACTGGAGCATCACACTTTAATTAGCATAAGTACAGTTACACTGGCACAACTCTCTTTACCTGCTCCATAGCAGAGCACAGTGTCAGCCAGCACCGCTAGAGCTGGGGGTTAAAGGCCTTGCTCAAGGACCCACAGACATGTAACAGTCCCACCAGGGCCAGGGCTCAAACCAGCAACCTCCAACACACAAGCACAGACGCTTAGCCCACTGAGCCTCTCACCAGTCACATAGACCACAGCAGGATGCTGGAGCAGAACTAGTCAGTCTGGAAAAAATAAGCGACATTTAACAAAAAACATGCTTTATTTGCACAAGAACTGGTACATTGAAATGCTCCTCTTCCCCAACCCCATCTGGCTCGCCATAGCTCCATAAAACATTCTGCTTAGGCTTGAACCGGCAACCTTCTGATTACAGATACAGACACTTAACCCACCAAGCCACTCCCTACCCTTCATTTGCAGCTGATCTGAACTCCAGTACAGCTACAGGCCAGATCTGGTTTACAGATTTCTGACTCATTTCTGAACACCATTTGGCCCAGATCTGGTTCAGATTCATCTCGCTATGTGGGGTGATCGCACTTCAGATTCTTAGCGCATCAACTGCGCACCTGGTAAGTGACTGATCATACGTATATGGTCAGGTGAATGCTCACTGGATCTACAGAGTGTATACAGACCAGCTGTAATCATTTAGAACTCTGGACAGATTCTGCTGCAGACTCTCCTTCCAGGCAGATCTGGCCCAAATCAGTTGCTAATTGGGAATGTTTACCTGTGATTGAGCGTGTTTGGTAATTTCAGGAAAACCTGACAAATCATCATAAGCTGTAGTTTTCCCACGTTCATAATTCTCTGTGTTTCCTCTCAGGTTTTCCAGCTCTCTTTAAAGGTGTTGGAGGGACAGTCAAACACATGGAGGGATACAGGATTGTCTTAAGCGGCAAGCAGACAATGTTTGTGTGCGTGACTGGAGAAGCATTTGGGGCAAACAAAATATTTGCATATAAAGTAAAGCAATCATGAGTGTGTATCTGTTTCATATAAGCTTTATTCCTATTCCTGTTTCCTATTAAATTAGGTAGTGGCAGGTCAAAATTGAACATTGGTCCAGCTTAGATATTACCCTATAAGGACACAAAGAATTGCAAGTAATTATCTTGTGCATTTTCAGATTTCATTATTGCCCCCCCCCCCCCCCCGACCTGATGAGTGGGGACATCACTTCTTCTTCCATGGCAGTTTGTCGGATGTGTGACATCATTTATAAAGCATTATCGTGGCACCTTATTCAGTGTGTTTCTTAGTAGGTACCTGTAAGAAAATTGAGTGCAACATTAACCTATATTTTTGGTTGAACCATTGAAATATTGATTTAAATTGTATTTCCCTGGATAGAAAAAAGCTAAATTAAAGCAGCACCACTTAGTGGTAACAAAGGGAAGGGGGACTGCAGATGACATTTGACACTGTGAATGCGATGAGTCAAAAAGTATTTGATGGATCTGATATTTGCTTCAAAAATACATTTCAATGATGAAAATTTATACCTGATTTAATTTTGAGACAAATTTCCGCAAAATTGAAACAGCAGCGCTAGATGGTAGCAAAGGAAGGAAATGGAGGCTGCAGAAGACACAATATTGTGAGCACAGTAACTCTAAAAGTATTTGATGGGTGTTTTTCAAAAATATTCTTTCGTCTTCACCCCCCCATGGAGGAGTTTCATCGTACCGAAAGTGGTCGTGAGACTTGACCGATTTTTTTTAAAGAGGGATCCATCTGGGTCCTATTTCATTTTGAGACAAATTGTACCAAAACTGAAGCAGTCTCACTAAGCCAGTGTGGTGGCACATGAAAGGACAGCCGCAGATGCAGATCTGGAAAACCTGATTACATTGAGATGAGCAAAGTCACACAAGGTTTAATAAAGCTTTTAATAAAGATTTAATAAAGAGGTGGGGATAGTGTGCAGGGTGCTAGAGATTGAAGGTGTGGGGGAGTAGGGATTAGATGTGGCATTGCGGACAGAGAAATGATAAATTGAATCAGAAGTGTCTAGTTTTCACACTGTCCTCTAGTCAATCCACTTACCAGCCGATACCTAATGTAACTTATGTTTGTTTAATATGAATTTCTGATCATTCCTGATAATAAATTAGATTTTTGGCTGCTGTAACATTTGCTCTAGTACTTGGCTACTATGAACATAAAAATGCCTTTTTTAATATAATCTGTTTCAACTTTGAAGAGCAACAATATACGTAATGCAAGCATACTAAACTTAATGCATATTAAACATAGTCTGCAGAAGAAACACCATTTTGCCTCGTCTGTTTCTATATTCATAACACATACATCTGTGGTTTTCCTGTTCAGTGACTCACAGCATTTAATGCATTGAGTACACGAAGATAAAATGTGTATTGCCTTTGCAATGTGTCTGTTTTGCACTATATCCCACATAGCAAGCACATGTGGGCCGACTTTGACCTGGATCTGGCACATCTGGCTTTGTTCTGGTATGGTCATAATGGTTTAGGCCATACCCAATCCTTATTTGGCTTATGATTCTGACTGACAGCATGCTTTCCTTATATGCAGGGACTGACATAACTGGTACGCAAGTACGCATTCACCTTTAAAAGTAATACATGCAGCAATCGATTGTTGTAACAGCATGAATACGTACATATTTTATGGGCATTTTTGCCCATATGACAAGAAATTATCAAGCATTTTAACCTTTATATGCTAATTCGTACTTCATTTGTGGTATAGAGGTTAAAATGCGTGATAATTACTTGTCATATCGGCACACATGCACATAAAATACGTACGCATTCATGCTGTTACAACAATCGATTGTACAACCACACGTATCGCTTTTTAAAGGTGAATGCGTACTTGCGTACCAGTTATGTCAATCCCTGCTTATATGGACCAATTTCAGCTGAGAGTATCTCTGCCAGATGTCAGATCACTAATGGGAAAGAGGTTTTGGGCCAAAGATGGCACAATCATCGATTTTAGCACAAGATGACAGATCACAGTATTTTGTACTGACAAAAACAGCCAGAACTAGTCAATCCAAATGTGTTGCATTTGTTAATTATTTTTGTGTGTTAATCAGTTTTATGTAATGTTTTCATATAGTTTCATGCTAAGAAATGTGGATTGAAAATGAAGCAAAGCAGGCTGGCAAACAGACTAAAAAATAAATGTGCAGTACCAGTCAAAAATTTGCATACGCCAAGGAGCCTGCGAAGGAGAGTGATAGTGTCACATGATATGACCTGGTCACCTGACCTAAATATAGCAGAGATGGTTTTGGAGGAGTTTGACCAGAGAATGAAGGAAAAGCGGCCAATCAGTGCTCAGTATATATATGGGACCTCCATCAGGACAGCTGGACAAGCATCCCAGAAGGCCACCTCATGAAGCTGGTGTAGAGGAGACAGCACGGTCAGCCAGTCCCTGTAGCAATTGGCATTAAGGGCTTCGCTCAAGCGCCCAATGGCGTGACCACTCTGCCAACCTGATATTTTTTTCATGTATGGCATCCACCTTGAGTGGAGAATTAGTGGGTCATTGAAGATCATCGGCTTAAGATAAGCACACCTTACACGATCGTGTTCCATTTAGCTGTGATGTCCTGCCTGTTGTGTCCCCCTGACCTTCCTGTCTCCTCCCTGATGTGGCCCTGATGAGCTGCGCTTGTTGCTTGTTGTCTCTTGTTAGTCTTTGTAAAAGTACCTTTTTATCTCCTCAGCCCCAGTCCGATCATTGACATAACTCCTCGTGTTTGTCCTTGTCCTTCCCTGTACTAGTCTTTTCAATTTGATCCCTAGCAGTCTTGTTTGTTTCCCTGCTCCTGTGTTGTTCAATTAGAGCCCCTTTATATATGTGGAGTAAACGGAACAAATATACCCTATAGTAGGCCTATATATTTTTTGTTTTGCCTTTTAAAGAGAACACATACTGCAGAAGCAATGCGCTCGTTCAAGGTATTGAACTTGGTATTGTCCAAATGCCCTTACATTACGTGTATTTACACACGTCCAAACATTCCGGTCACATTAAGGTTGGGGTCCACTCTCAGCTGCCTGTGGATGGGGTTTCCTTCATCATTGGAAACGATCTGGCTGGTGGGAAGGCTCTTCCGCTACCTGAGGTAACAAAAGAGCTGGAGAATTCTGCTGAGTGTTTCCTGTGTGTGTTGTAACCTGTGCCCAAACAGGTAAGTTTAAAGATATCGAACTATCAGATTGTGTATTGATGATGTATCAGAATAAACTATGGTATATTGTATTTTAAAAACAGAAAAATACAAATGACCGAACATAAGAGCAACATTTTTCCACTGCTTAAGGAGACACAAAACAAATGTGATACCAAGTGTCATGTCTGATGGGGAAGGTGTAGCCCAGAGGTTAGCTTTGAGCAGAACAGACGGATTTATGAACGGGACACGAACAACCAGAAAACGAAAGACCACGAGGGGTCTAACATGGAGAACAGGAAGGAGCAATGAGACAGGAGAAGGTCAAGCTGGAAAACAGGAAGCATTGCAGGGATGGAAGACACTGAGAACCTGGAAAACACCTAAAAGCAGTAATAGTGACCAAGCTGGGGAACACAGTGAGCGCAAACACATATATATACCTCTAACAGAGGAGTAACAAAAGGCAGGTGTGGGGGGAGTATCACATCAGACTGAAAACAATTAGGTGATTACAGGATGGCCAGCACCCTCTGCTGGCTAAACAGGGACACGACGGAGGTAGATCATGTCAGGAAACAAAAGATAAAATATTCTGAAGCATGATAAATCACCTAAAGGATTATTAGGAACACCTGTTCAATTTCTCATTAATGCAATTATCTAATCAACCAATCACATGGCAGTTGCTTCAATGCATTTTGGGGTGTGGTCCTGGT